AGAACAGTTCCGCCCTGCCTCTTACTTGGCATCTTCCAAATCCTTCTGTTAAATGCATCCCGAGGTCTGACAGGAGAATTCGGAGAGAGCTCAAGTGCCCAGCATCTATTTGTCCTACTCACAAGGCCCCTACAGATGTGACTTCTACAGCCAGTGTGACAACAGAACAGGGCTTAGGACCTACCCATCCCATCTCTCCCCTGCATGTGCGTCTAGGGTGCCGTCTGCAAGCAGGTGACATTTAATGAGCTGCAGTGTGGGTCAGGCTGCCCTGCTCTGCAGTCAACTCCCAGGTCAAGCCCTGCTGTGCTGCAGCTCCTAAGACCTCTGAGTATGAGAGGCAACCTGTCCCTCCCTGCACCTCCGCGAGGACAGGCCTAAAGCAGTCCCTGCCTGGACAACAGACAACCATCCTCAAGAACTAGGGGGGAGGGGCTGTCATTGCTGTGACCTTCCCCCAGCTCACCCAAGACCTCCAAGCCAGCCTATCTCCATGCGTGCTGGGCCCTCCATTGGCAGTGGATGAGAGAGAGTTACTTAAACTTTTCATTTCGCTCCATACAGCATCTCTGGGAAGGGGAGGCTGTCAATGACCTGGATTCAATGATGTTCTGATTTACAAGAGGTTCAGCTCTTAGAAGGAACCATTTGTGAAGCAGAGAGGTTTCTCCTGGGACTGAGATGGGCCTGTACCAGCCAAGGCCTCCCCAACCCCCAGGCAGAGAAGGTGCAAAGAGACTGGTAACTATAGACATTGTGTCATTTTCTCTTTGCTGAAATAAACCCAGAGAAGGTGTAAGCACAGCTCAACCTAGCTGCTCACAGCGGACAGACAAACTAGCAACATGGAGGTCTCTGGATAAGCCAGCCAGGGTGGCACAGCAGGTACAGGAGCGAGTAGGACCAAACTTGAACCAAGTCACCTGGGAGGGAGAAGGATGACGCCATGAGGCCCCCAGCGACCCCATGTGAGGGCAGATCACCCAATAAGGAAGGTGAGCGCGGGCTGGCTTGTGTGCCTTTACTAATCTGTAGTGAACAATTTAACATACTTTTCACCACAACCAAGATTCTGCTTCTAGGTATGACTGGCACCTCGTCTTTCTCCCAATCCCACAGTATCTTCCTGCTGAACTGAAGTCTCTTTTCAAAGTGACAGTCCAAGCCAGGGATGGAATAGCCAGTGAATGAGATAAGCACGGGCTTCTGGTGCTTACTTATTAATTTGTAGTGAAGTTTCACACATTAGTAAGTGCATGCTTGCTTTGCATGTTGGGCAATCCAACACTGCTTCCCATCCACCTTACCCCCTAGGGCTTGGCTCTGAATGGCTTTCAAAATATGGGAGACTGAAATGGTAGAGACAGAGGGAACAGCACCCCTGGAAGAGAAAACCACCTGGACCAGGGAGTGGAGGAAGAACATACAAAGCACTGGTGGGAAGGCACAGGGGACATTATGTTTAGTGGAACATGAGGTTTGGATGTTGCTGTGATGTTGAACAGGTTTCACTGGCATTTCCAGACTAAGAAAGACTAGGAAGAAAGGCCTGGCTATCTACTTCTGCAAACTAGCCAACCAAGAGCCTAAGAGCCTAATGGATAAGGAGGGTCCCATGCCTTCAAGGCTCCGGTCCGGCATAGCATCTGCTAGTATTACTTCCACTGTGATAATGTCACAGTGAGCCAAGAGTGAAACTCATAGTAGCTCACCCCAGCAAGAGCCGAGGAAAGCAGTGAGGGATGCCTGGGAGGTAGGAGGCAGGCTGGCCCACAGTGGATGCTTCTGATGCTACCTGATTCTGCAGGTAGGGAGCATGAGTTGAAAACTGTCCAAGAGGGGAGGCAACCAAACGACCTCAGCTGTGAATTAGCAAGCCTCATCTGTCAGGTAGGTGTGCGGGCTAGTGAGGGACCTGGCAGCAGGGCAGTCAGGAGGTTACCACAGTGCAATGTTAGGTACAAATCCAGGTAGGGGGCCTGGTGGGCTCTGCTGTGCTGTTACTTCTGTTCCCGGGCTGGTGGTGACCCTCACTCAGCCCTAACCCAGGATCTGTCTGGGTCCAGAGAACCCTCTTTTCTGAGGGCTACTTCTCCCAAACCCCCTAACCCTGAGCTGTCTCAGCTTCCCTCACAACCCTCCCTTTCCCAAACCCCAGAGTCAGTCAATTAGGGGTCAAAATCCAGAATGGCACTGCCAAGATTGGGGGAGCCCATCTTTGATTCTCCAGGTCCTAGACCCTGAAGGGCTTTGCCTGTACCCCACAAGCTATGATGTCCTGCTGGGCTGATCCGCTAAGATTTGACACAGAAACACCACTGTATCTGCCCTGTCCCCAGATGGTCAAGGAGATGTGATTTCTTGTCTCACCTCACCTCCAGGGCTCATCAAGGCTTTACAAGGTGCAGGGTTGGGGGAGAGCCTGATTGCAGGATCACTGTCTCCAAGGCCAAGCCCGCCCAGCTACCTTACTTCATCTTGTCCTATACACACACACACACACACACACACACACAGAGGTACACAAACGCACACAATTAAGCACACCCCAACCAAGGTCCCGCCGAAGCTACCATGGGTGTGTCCAAGGGACTGTTGAAGGTGAAGATCTAGCAGGTTCTGATGGATTCCAAAGGAATCCAAACTTCTGTTACCCCTAAGAAAGGATGTGGATGGAGAAAATGAGGCTGTGTAAATGCTATCATAAAGGAAAGGGGGTGAGAATCAAAGGTGAGGAAAGCAAAAGGGAAATTAGGAGAAGGAGCCATACACAGAGAAGGCTTCACAGAGGAGCAGAGTCTCAGGCCTCCATTTGAATTATCAAGGATTTACTGGGTGTATCTGTCTCTGCCGTCATGTTAAACACATTCGGATGCACATGCTCATGCACACATACGCTGCTGTTGTATGGGCTAGTGAGTTTATTACAGATCATAGGAACCTTCCTTGTAAACAACAGATCTGAATCCTGTGCCATTCTCATCATCTCTGACATACTTTGAGTCTATGTTGTTATATAGTCACTGGGTCAATCCATCTTCCTCTCTTGCTGACCTTCTACCTTTCCCATCCTGATGTCTTTTTCCCAAAACTGGCCTATAAAGACCAAGATATATTTTACCAAAATATGTTGTACAATAAGCACAGCTTTCTGAACACAGCCATGGTGTCGGCTCAGGGGTTACCAAGACAATAGGCTTTAACAGACTTTTCAGCTCTTCAGACCAAAGGAATTCGAAAATCTTCAGAAACTCAATTCACTGTATTTCACATATTGTTTTTGTTGTTATGGTCTCTCACGTCACCTGCAACTCATCGCGACCCTAAGGACACCGATTCTGAAACCATCCCCACCATCACCTGCACACTGGAGCCCGTTGCTCCTGTCACTGGCTTAATCCATCTCATCAAAGGTCTCCTTCTCTTACACCGGCCCTTCCAAGCATGACGGCCTTGTCCAAGGACTGGCCCCTTATAACAACATGTCCATAGTATGTGAGATGAAGTATCTTCAGGAAGTACTATCATCATCCTTGCTTCCAAGGAGTTTCACATATACCCTTATGCAAACCTTTGGGAAGACTTGGGAGCAATTATGTTATCTGTGATTCAACATGCCTACCCATTTTCCCTCCCTGCACCCAGTTCATGCGTACACACACACACACACACACACACACACACACACACAAACCCACTGCCCCACGTTGATTCCAACTCTTAGCGATTCTGTAGGACAGACAGAACTACCACATCAGATTTCCAAGCCTGTCCTCGTTACAGAAGCAGGCTGTCACATCTCCTGTGGAAGGAGTGCAGCCCCTCTCTGGGGCTTAGTCCTCACGGAAGGTTAGCCTCCCCTTCAATCCACCCCACTCCTTAGCACGCCGGGGGCCATCAGGGGAACATCAATGTCCACACACTGACATCCCCTCCTCCTATCCTTGGCTTTGCTTTGCCTGCTGCTCCACCTCAGGTAATAGATTCTAGGAGAGAAATATCAACTAAATGCCACCGAAAATAGATTCTGAGAGGTTTCTTCACCCTGACCTGAAACTCCAACAGGTTAGTTTGTCATTTTGTTGTTGTTGTTTTTCTGATAGGTCCAGCATAAGAATGAAAAATCCAGGACAGTCTTACTAACTAGCAGTCAGATGCCAGGCATGGTTTAAGGACTTCACACACAGACTCATCGAAAGCTAATGAGACGGTTGGCCAGCTGATTGCCATGGAGTCAGAACTGACTCATAGCTAACCCTTCACTGGGTTTCCAAGACTGCAAATTGCACAAGAGGCTATTGCCTACTTCCTTTCAAGTAGCTTCTAGTGGAGTCAAACTGCCAAGGAGGTGTGGCCTTTGGCTTCGCAGCACCACTCACCACAGACAGAGCTTCCTGCCCTATGAGAGAGCATCTATTCTTTTTAGGCCCATTTTACAGATAAACTGAGGCACAGAGAAGCTAAACAACTCACCCAAGAGCATGGAGCAAGCAAATGGGTTCAACCCAGGCAAAGTCTGGGATCTTAAGCAACACACAAAACTGCCTCTTTGCCATGCCTCCATTGAAACTGACGCTAGCCCTCCGGGAGCACCTCCGCCAAGCCTGTGAGACCATTGGCACAGCCTGGAGAAATAGAGCCATGGAGATTCACCATGGAGCAAAGAAAGTGAAAAGGAGGCACTCTGAAAGCTAGAATGATACAGCCAAGAGCCTTAAGGCACCAAGGTGGAGCAATGCCTTTTAGAATTTGCAGAGTTTTGTTGGGAGCCCCCGTGGATTCTGCTGCACGCACATCACTCTGACCATAAAGGGTTGCTGCGACCTCTGGGCCTTCACAGCGTCAGGGTCCATCAGTGAGGAGTCTGCTCCCATCGCAGGATTCGCTCCTCCCTGAGGGTGACTCTCCTTCCTGCCCCACATCACAGCAAGCCTTCTCCAAGGGAGCCTCAGCCACAGACCAGGGCAAAGCGGGGAAGCCCTGCCCTCAGGCTGACTTACTTGAAGAAGTCCTCTTTGCAGTAGACGCTCCCGGCCCTGGAGAAGCACCTGTCAGCCAGCTGCATCTGGCAGTCTGCACACTTGAGGCAGGAGCTGTGCCAGTGCCTGTCCAGCACCTTCAGGATGAACTTGTCCAGGATGTGCTGGTTGCAGCCTGCGCACTGGGGGATCTCTGTGGAAAAAGGACAGAAAAGCAGGGTGAGCCTTCCGCTGACCCCCACTGGCCACACCAGGTCATCCCACTCTGCCTGGTGTGAGAACAGACTTGAGGGGGCAGCAAGTCCCTAAGGGTGCTGTAGATGGTATGTTACTGGCTGTCCACGGCACAAAGGAGTCTGGTCAAGGGGCAGGTGGGAACTAGAGTGAAAACCATGGTGGCTTTGACCTAGATGAGCCACCTGTTTCTAATGTGCACGGGTACCACCAGGCTAGCAGCAGCAGCCAACAGCATGTATGCCAGCTGCACCTCCACAGTCATGAGGCCAGGAAAGCCTAAGAGCATTCACCTGTTTCCATGGTGTATTTATCCCTGAACAGAATGTATGCTGAAAACAGCAGTCCCCAAAATGAGCCTTGCCTAGGCACGGACTGAGGAGCCATCTGGCCCAAAACACAAATGCTATGTATGGAGAAAGATGGAGGAGTGGGAAAGTGAGGCGTCCGGGTTCAAGGATGCTCCAGCAGCACTTTGCAGATAAGAGTCTCAGTATTTTTGAGGAACTGATTTCAAGAGTTGGCTCCATCAACATACCTTCCTAATTGTGCCTTTCTGTTCTGCAGGCTGGAAAACTAGAACCTGCTTTTCAGCACTCCCTTGCAGCTAAGGTTCAGAATGTGATGTGGAGCCTGCCTATCACGTGCTCTTTAGGAAAGACATATATTCAGAACTGAGCTAAACACAGGGAGAGCTGAAGGCAGGCTCTCGTGGTATAGGAGTGGACAGTGGCTGTCCTTTGTGGTGCTGTGGTTGGAACATTTTAAGATTAGTTTTTCCGCAATCACAGCAGGCAATGACGGTCTGGGTCTGGGAGCTCAGCCTAGAAGATGGTTTCACAGCACTGGAAGCCCCTCAACATCTGGTAACTGATCACTTTGCACTGAAATAGTGAACACAGATTCTGTCAACTGAAACTGAGCAATAACCACAGCCCCACCTTGGTCCCATCCTGTATGAGGCCCATTTCCCTGTCATTACATGTTTACCAGGAGGTTGCTTTGGGGGTTAAATACCTAAAAAAAGGGGGGGGGCAGTCTTCTATAAGCAAATAATGCCAGAATATCTAACCATTTTTCTCAAAAAAGGAAAAGAATACGACAAACAAAAATATGAAAGCATACATTTGACATCTTGTATCTTCAAAACACAGCTTGTCATGAGGCTAGCGCCCTAAGGTTGCTGCCCCGCTTTTCCCCATCAGAAGGTGGGATCCTCAAGAGGCATGAACAGCGTTTCTTTCTCCGCTTTGTATCCTCCCTGCCTAACACAGTGCCCAGCAAGGGGTCACTTCACAGATGCTTACCACTGGCTAAATGACTGATTGAATTCTTCCCAACAGCTCATCAAGAAACAATCCTTCACTAGCTTCTCCTAGGCACTTGAAAATGCCAACAAAAGTAGTAAAACCAATCTCTCATAAATCATACATGTTTCTCTATCCCTATTACGTTTGTTGGTTGTGATATAGATTAAAAGTGTTAACACAAGTGAATTCGTCTCAGGGCCCTCTGGAGGAAAATGTTTAAACACAGGTAGCCTAAAGTGCCCCCAAATATTAAGATATTTATGTTCAGAACATAGAGACAGGCCACTGGAGCATTCACCCAACCCCAATACCCAATGCAGTTCAACAGCATTTGTTTGAAAGTCAGACCTATTCCATGCTCCCCTTTGATCGCTTTCTCAGACCAAAATTCCCTATGAAAACTACCAGCAGTCATACTCCTGATACATGCAGGCCTGGACACATGCTGTCTTTGTTCATATATGATTTCCCCCCCACCTATTTTAAAAGATGTGCTCTTTGGGAAAGATATTGTTCAACCAATAAATTCCAAGGAGTGTGATGATTCCACTAAGGTGCTGAGCACATAATGACTACAGGAATTTCCACAAGGTGACAAAGATAGTACATAGAACTAAGACCATGGATTCTGGTGCTAGACTGCAGGAGTTTGAATCCTGGATTTGCTCATTCGGCAAATTAGTTAGCCTTTCTCTGCCTCGGTTTCCTCTTATAAAATGGGGATGATGTTGACAATGGGGCCTCATAAAATCGTTACAAGGATTAATTACATTAATAAATCTAAAATTCTTAGGATAAGGCCTGATGCAAGTGTTCAACAGAGTTTGCAGTTATTATGAAGAACTAGCCCAGGACTGTGGGGAAAAGGTGGGCAGTCTTCTCCTGTTAAGTTTATAGCCTCTCTAAACCCATTGGAAAGTCAGCTATGGGTCGGTTCCAATTTGATAGCAATGATGTTGGGGTTTTTTTAAAAACTTCGTTGAGGAGGGAAGAATAACTACAGGAAAGGATGGTTAGACCTGTTGCTGCTGTGGCAGAGAAACAGGGAAAAAACACTGGGACCTTGCACAAATGCTGTGATCCCCACACGAGGCTCAATGAGTGCCCGGTCACGTAGCCGCCGGCCCAGGAGCAGGTCCTCAGCCTTCACTGAGAGCACTCACCCCTTTACCCCCTCTCTACTCGACAAACCATCAGCGATCCACCTCCCTGGAACCGCCGCGCAGGGTTTCCAAGAGGAAGGAACCGAAGGGCTGGTGGGAGGGGCTTAGATAAACGGATGACTGATTAGAAGGAGGAGGAGTTACGGGTTCAAAACCCTGAGCTTCTGTGGAGTGTAGAAAAAGCCAGTCACAGAGTGCGGAAAGTGGCTGGGAAACAATGAAAGACTGGGGTTTAAAGGGCTTAAAGGGCCAGGAGAGTGCTGGTATATCCTGCATATATTTGCAAGTCATTTCACGTGACTGAGAAGGAGAAAGGCTTGAGGGAGGAAGTGTTGAGGAAGATTTCTAGGGCATCATTTTGCAGAAGAAGAAAAGATCTGCCCAAGAAACTTGCTGCACAGGAAAGTGGTTAGGACATAGAGGTACAGAACCCGCAGCAACAAGAACCTCCGCTATAGAAGGAGCTCTGGAGCAGCCCCAGCGCGCAACCCGGAGCGAGTGGAGGGCAGCCCAGACCCCAGAGGACATCCAGGACCGCAGAGGACAGCCCGGATCGCGGCCCCGACCGTGCAGAGCCGGGGGATGGTGGTGCCTGGGCCCCCGACTGCCCTCTCAGACCTCCACCCTCTTTCGCACCTTTGGGTGCCGGTTGCCCCGGTCGCCACCGTTCTAGCCCGAACCCCAGCTGGCACTGCCTTTTTGTGCGAGCTAATGGGATTCACAAGAGCAGGAAACATGTCTGGAGCGCAGCTGCCTGGAGAGGCAGGGCTGTGAGAGCGCCGACAAAGAAAGGCCCCCTCGCTGGCTCTGGGCTGTTCTCCGCGAGGTCGAGACCGGCTCTCGCCTCCTCACTCCTCTACAAGGAAAGAAGTGCTTCTTCCAACACAACTGTGGCTGTTTGGCCTTCACTCTGAGAAAAAAAAATAAATGGCTATATTTCTCTTCTCAGCACAAATGCATGGGAATGAGGGAGAGGATGCGCGCCCATAAAATTTATTTTGAGCAAGGTATCTACCAGGAGACTTAATGTGATGAGTATTCAAGAGAGAATATATTAAGGCTAATGTATGCAGGGAATGGTGGGCAGGGGAGTTATAGAGGCTTGTAAGCCCAGACAACATCACGTTAGGGAACAGCTTTCAAAGCAAAGGAGACAGCCTTCCAGCTGCGACAGAGACCCAGAACTGGGGTCCAAATTGCTGAGTTTCGGGTCTGGCAAAATATTAAAGGTGTATATTAATTTTAAAAAATAACAAAACAAACCTTTCCACTGTAGACTTTTATGTCATGGATATTATTAGCCATAAAAATCAACAGTGGAGAAGGATATATAAAAATACACATACATATATATAAAAAACCCTCTCCACTGCTGATTTTTATCTTGATACACACACATATATATACTAAGAAAGAAAGAAAAATATAGAAAGGTTTAAAAGATCCACAATACACTAGTCGAGTTGAATAGTGTATTTGTGTTATTTATTGCCGTCGAACTTAGCAGGCCCTCCAGTGAGTTTTCAGAGGCTATAAATTTCACGGGAGGTGATTGACCATCTTTCTTCCTTGCAGCAGCTGGTGGATTTGAACCCTCTGCCTTTGGAGTGGCAGCTCAACCTCTTACCCACTAGGCTACCAGATTTCCCTAATGTACTGCTTGTTATTGTACACCTTTGAGTCGGAACCACTTAGCAGCTGATGCTCCAGCGTGTTATTATCAGAGGCACTAAACAGCACAGCAGAAGATTGTCCAGCTTTCTATGCAAAGCAGGTGGTGGATTTCAACAGTGTGCCTTGGGGTCAGTGCAACTCCTTACCACTAAGCCAGCAGCTTCCCTAATACACAAGTATTACAAGTAAAATTAAGCTTTAAGAGCTTGTTCTAGCCTGTCTCAAGACCTGAATATTTGCCTCAACTCGACAAGGAAGGTATTACCATCCTTATTTTGCAGATGAAGAAGCTGAGCTCAATGAGCTCCAGCAAAATGTCCAAGGTGCCACAGTGGGACCTAGGATTTACACCAAGAGCCAGTGCTGTCACTGCCTTCATGATGAATTAATGCAACATCACAGCTGGAGGGACCATCTAGCAGGACTACTCATTCTGTGGGGAGGAGATGTGATGGAAGCCAGGAGACAGTCTCAGAGAAGCTCTGCTCCTAACAACAAAGTGGCCTCTTACGCTACCCTAAGACTTAAGTAAATGGCGAAGTCTGAGGTCCAAATTTAGATACTCTGGGCAGAGTAAGCAGGTGTTAGATGGGATGGGCATGGGACACCTGGAGAAGGGAGCAGGAAGCCCCTGTCCCCTGACCCCCTTTAAGATGCCAACTTGTCAGTGGTATCTGTCAAGTGCAGACCCCTTCCTGCCTGAGTCTACATTTCAGGTTACACAGCCACATGCCATTATTTAGATTAGTGAGAAGTGAGCTAGCTAGAAAATTTCCAACCAGCAACAACAATATACGTCTTTACTTTTCTCC